GTAGATCATGTTGTGCGGGGTCGAGAACCCTCACCCCGCGCAAGGCGGATGATCGCACCGCGTTGTGTTAAATTGGTCAAGCATCCTCGAGGCAGTTACACAGTCCTCATGACTGTCTCTGGAAGTGATAGCACCAGAAAATAAATTAATTCATACGCAGCTGTCATCATCCGTACGCAAGGAAGTAAGCACAAGATGCTAACACCCTTAGCAGGATGCAGCGCACCCTTCATGCGACTCGCCGAATACCTCACGGCGCTTCGCGCTTGGTGATGTGAGAGCCCGTTCCGGTGAGAACCCGGCGTGCTCCGTCCCGGCTTGGTAGGGATGCGAGGTCAATGGTCTAACGGCTGCGGCATGCACGACTATGAGTACACCCCCCCCCCCCCCGGCACTGCACCATTGCACCAACCCCCCGCGAGCGATGACGTGCATGGGCTGGCGCGAGTGGCCCGATTGTCATGTATGTTGTTGTCTGTCGCTACGGCGTGTGTCTTTCTCTGTCGCTCTGTGCCTTTCTTCTTCTCTTTCCCTTTCTCATCTGCTCTCTTCCTTTTCTTTTTCTTTTTCTTCTTTCTATCTAGGGTTACCTCGCATAGTGTGTAGAGGCGAGCGGAGTCTCCTAGACTACCTGTCGTTTGACTCTTATTGGCTTGCGGACCCTTCGGGTCCATTTTATTTTCGTATACCTTTTTGGGGTAAGTTAGCCTGTGACCACGGGAATCGACCCCGTCAAGTGTTAGACTAGTACGGACAGAAGAAGGTACTGGGCAGAGAGAACGGAACGGTTCTAATGTGAAGACAACAACAACAACAACAACAACAACAACAACAACAACAACAACAACGTGCACGGAGGGCTTTCTTATATATTGCCGTGCCCGTGGGGAACAAACAGTGCCCGCGCATGGTACGCCAGGCGTACCGTAACTACAGCCACGAGAGCGTGTGCCGTGAGGAGCGTACCGGAGGAGGAGCAAGAAGCTGCTAAATAGGCCCGAGGGAACACCTTCGCGAGGAGAGAGGGAGAGAAGCGGCCACCGGTTCCGGTCGGAACCGGTGACCACCCGTTACCGGTGATAACTTTTCTCCCTCTTGGGGGTGAGACGTCGATTCCTCATCCTGGTCGGAGTTGAGACCAAACTTCAACAGATGAAGCACCGCGTAACATAAAAAGCGTCGAAATGGTCCGCAAAGACCGCCGTTTCCCCGGTTCCGATGGGTCGGAAAGTCCATGACCTCGAAGGCTCGAACCGCAGCCACCATCAGGCTCGGTAGAGCTTCCTTCCTAGGCCCGACCCACGCTCCGTCCGACCCACGCTGCCCGCGGCCCGAGAGCCCACGCCGTCTGCTGGTTGTGCATGAAAGCTCCAAACATTTGGCGTGTCCGGCTCACGCTGCCCGCGGCCCAAGAGCCCACACGGTCTGCCGGTTGTGCATGAAAGCTCGAAAAAATGGAGTTCATCCCTGCCGCCTTCTCGTCCTCGTGCTTCGACGCGGTGCTCGCCCCCCATGGCGCTATCGCCCAACGGCGAAGATGACGGTAGCCGTCGGGCCGACAGAAGAAAGCGATGACGATGATGCTGGCGCTAGGCCGGCGGCCAGCATATACAGTAGCCTTCATATTCCAGTGGGGACAATTTCGCCAACATGTTACCCAGGTCTTGTTGGAGACGGGAAATTTGTTCGTCTTGCCCGCCACCCGCAGACGGGCCTTCTCTTCGCTGTTGCAATACCCGCAAGAGGGGGAGAGATTGGCGCACCCCACTCGACCGACTTTCGAAGCTCCATTGCTCCCCCAACGAAGGGGGTCGGAAAGACCTCGATAGCTCTACGGAAAGGCCTCGACGAGAGGTTGCCAAACCCGCCATTGTTGATGTTGGCCCAATCTTGGTTGTGGAGCAATCGGGCCTTGAAAATCGGTCTAGGGCGGGTGCCGTCTTTCCGACTCCTACGGAATACCACGGTACGGTACCGTGCGGTACAGACAATCTTGGTCGTGGAGCAATCGGGCCTTGAAAATCGGTCTAGGGCTCGGTGCCATCTCTCCGACTCTCGCGGCAACCCAGCGCCCACCGACATATGAGCTATCATCGGAGTCGTCACAGTACATTGGACACAAGCGTCTTCGTGAGGCGGACGAGCTTGCTGACTGACCTCTCCTGAATACGAAAATCCGGAATGGCCCGGATCTTCCGGTCCGACGCTACATAGCTGTCGCTCGACCTGCGGACAGCAATGATGATGCAGCCCCACAGAGCCAGCAGCACGACTACCGTAGGTGACACGGGATCCCACACCCCCCGGGACCGATTTTCAAAGCTCAATTGCTCCACGACGAAGTGGATGCCAAAAGTCAAACGATGTGTTTTCGGAAAGATCTGGACGAGACGGTTCCAACCCCGCCACTTCGGCACTCTTATCCACTGCGGAGTATTCGAGCTTCAAAAGTATCTGTCCAGGGGGTGTTGTATCATGTGTCGCCTACGGTACCTGCCACCGTAGCATCAGCCACCACCGGGGATGGCTCCCTCCTCTGACATGCCTCACCACCCTCAACACCCAACGCCGAAAGGAAGGGCTCGCCTCGCTGCCATGAGCGCCGCTGCAGCAGTTACCCCTATTATAGTCGCCTCACGCGGCCTCTTCCTACTTTTCCTCCCGAGCCATCTTCAAGTCGCCTATTGTACGACAAATCGTCCGTCGAACAGGATACACTCGTCCACGGGACTACCGTAGGTTGCATACGTCAAATACCACCCCCCCCGGGCAGATTGCACAAGATACCACACCCCCTGGACCGGTTTGCAACGCTCGACTACATTCTCTGCAGCAAGAACGGTGGCAGTACCGGAGATGGCGGCGGTGGAACCGCCTCGTGGAGAGCTACCCGAAAACGTATCGTTCGTTTGTGGCATTTTATTGTCGTCGGGGAATGGAGCGTGGGAAATCTGTCCAGGGGGATGTGGTATCTCATGCAACCTATAGTATGCGGCGCGTCACTCGACCACCAACCCGAAGAAAGTAACTCATCTCCGAAATACCTCTTGGGTGCAGTAGAATAACGCTCTCTTCCTTGTTTGGGACAGATCAGCAAGCGCATACACGACAGCCTCTGTCTCACTTCCGATCCTCCGTCATGACTTCTGATTGGCCAATTGGTATGGTCTCACTTCCGATACCGTAGTTGTCGGAGAGTTGGCACCGGCCGAAGAGATGGCACCGGTCGGAGAGATGGCACCGGGGCGCGATAAAAACCCCGAGAAAAAAACATTTAGTTCGATTTATGCACCGGAGTCGGTGAGATCGCACCGGGTGCGATCTCATCACCGACCCCCAAATCCAAGATTGAGCTCCTTTTCAGCTGCCGGAATGAGGTACATGTTGCGGCACTCCTTTACGTACGATTGGATGATCGCGGTTCACGCGGGATGCCAGTTGTATTAGTTTTTGATTGGTACGGAAGTTGCCAACCGTACACACAACCAAACACACAACGTGCAAGCCGCACTCTACCCTACCTTACACAACCCGAAACTATTGTGCTGCTGCGTACGTACTGGTATCCGTAGAAGAACACCGAAACGAAAGCGGGAAACAAACAATTGATACCGTGTGTACTGGTACCCCTCAGATGGTAACTACATCGTTCGCTGTTGTCACGCCATAGCCAAACTCGCACCAAACACAAGACTACTCGCTGCATGGAAAGCTGTTACGTACCAGCCTACGTTGCCGTTACCGGTGTACTTCCAACCAGCAAAAACGGTACCGACACGTACGTGTCTATACCGATCAATAGCATTGTCAACTAGCGTGTGAAGAAGACCGTGTGTGTGGGTTGCCTACACTGGTATCAATACTATCGTACCGGTCGGGGAGATGGCACCGGGGTGCGTGCATGCAACACCTGTGCATTTCATTGGGGATGGCACCGGTCGGAGAGATCGCAACGGGGTTCCTTGAAAATTCTAAACGAAATGATTTCATTGCATTTCCGCACCGGGGTCGGAGAGATGGCACCGGGGTGCGATAAAAAACCCGAGGAACATTTAAAAAACGATCGCACCCGGCGCCAACTTTCCGACTATTACGGTACTCCGTGTTGCCTTCTGATTGGCCAATCGGTATGTGGCCTCCCTTCTGATGTTCCGTGTTGCCTTCTGATTGGCCAATCGGTATATGGTCGCACTTCCGATACTCCGTGTTGCCTTCTTATTGGCCAATCGGTATATCTTCTTCGGCTCCTCACAATACTCAGATTTCAACGCCTTTGTCTCTGCAGTCTTGTGCGTTTTCGGGAAGCTCTCGCGACGAGGAGGTTTCAACGCCGCCAGTTTTCGGCACCGGCACTGCTGCTGGTTGCTGAAGAGTTACATAATCGAGCTTTGCATATCGGTCAAGGGGGTGTGGTATCTTACGCAACATACGGCATTTCGCCGAGCAGGAGAAGGGTGCGGCATGATAACAACCACTGTACCGCAGTTCGACTTAAAACCCCAGGCAAGGGGTGTGTTGAAGTCTTTACGGCCGTGAGCGGGGAAAGGAAACTGCACAACACTTGAGCACATTGTGAGTCGTTCATGTTCTGTCCTATGCTGCTGCTGCTGTCCATGACGTGCTTGCTGTGAAGGACAGGAGAGGCATCGTTACCGAAATGCTCATGATGTTTTAGATAGCAACGGCAACCTTGGTTTAAGGCTTTCGCTTTAGACTACATGACACATCACATGTGCCAAAATATCTTGTTCGCGGTGACGAGTGTGTGTATTCCTAACCCTGCAAACTAAGCCGAGAACAAAATCAAATCAAGCCAGCCGGCGGAGGAAGGAGAGATGCGTATGTATGACAAGCGGGCACAGCTTGCTATCAACGAAAACCAACAAGCAATCTTGGAGGAATGTTCCACCCAGCACACAAGCCTCACAGCAGCGTTTCCTTCGCCCGCGTTTGCCGTTTCTCTCTCTCACCGATTCCGCCAGCATCGTTGTGGGCAGGGCTGGCACCGCCGCTGCTGCTATCCCTGCTAGGCGGCGTGGGTGATGACGAGGAAGAAGTAGTACTTTGCCCAACTCTCCGCCGCATGGTCGACGTTCGCCGTGCTACGCTGCTGGAGCCAAAGAACTTTGCGCTGGGGAGAAGAGCACCCGAAGACGTGAAGCAAAGCCAGAAGCTCACGGTACACACGGCGGCCCCACCACGCCTCATGCTGTGTTGTGCTGCTCCGGTCCCGCCGCCGTCTCTGTCTCCGGCGCCTTCAACCAGAGCCACCTTCAATATGGAAACCCCTTTATCGAAGAGGTATTCTGCGCGCTGGTTGGGCAATCGCACCGCCGCTGTCCACGCACAGAATCCCGAGGCTTAGGAGACAGGGAGGTAGGACATGGATTCCCCAGAAGACGACGCGTGGGGGGACTTCAAGTCTACTCCCGAGCAAGAAGAGACGGCTCCAGCTGTAGAACTACACGAGCCCACCGCTGCTGCTGCTGCAACAATTGTTCCTCCCACCGTGGAGCAGATGATCCCGCCGCAGCAGCACCAGGCTGCTACCGCCGCTGCTGATAATGGCTCTGAATCGGCAGCTGGCCGTGGCGATGGTAGCACGGCTGACCTGCTAGGTTCGCTGCCTGACCCGACGTTTAGTGGAAGCGGCGGCAGCATTGTTGCTGCTGGCGGCGAGGACTTGTTTGCGCCAACCCCAGCGGTTGCGGAGGGAACCACCGCAGACACCGGTAGCGGCGACAGCGTTTCTGCTACCGCTGCTGCTGCTGCTGCTGCTGCTGCTGCTGCTGCTGCTAGGGATCTGTTGCACGACGGCGACTCCGCGGAGGCGAGAGCCAGCAACGCCGAGGGCGAGAAGGCAGACGACGGCGACGATGGCGAGTGGGGTGTCTTCGAGCAGCCCGCCGGGCCAGCTGCAGCGGCAGCAGCAGCACCTAACACAGCAGCAGTAGTAGCCGCGCCGGCATCATCATCATCATCATCTCCGGAGATGACGCCCGCAGCGCCGCCCGCGGAGAAGCTGGACGGGGAGGAGTGGATCGACCTGGCCGGGGCGGCATCGACCCATGCGGAGGATGGCGAAGGTGGCGCCGAAATCTTGGATGATGATGGCGGCGGCGATGATGCCAAGAAGACGCTGGCCGCTAGCGATGAGGGCACAGCGCCGGTCGACCGAGAAGAACCGGAACCACCAACACCGCCATCTCCGGAGACGCAGCGGCTTGGCGACGACGGCAGTAGTAGTAGCCGTAAAGATGGTCCGAGCGGCATCTCGTTGATGGGGGACTTTGGATGCGGGGATAATGTCCTCGTTACTCCCGTTGGTGCCACTGCTGCTGCTTCTACTGCGGGCGACAGCGGTAGTGGGCCAAGCGGAATCTCGTTGATGGGGGACTTTGGATTCGGGGATAATGTCGCCGTTGCTCCCGCTGGTGGTGCTGCTGCTGCTGCTTCTGCTGCTGGCGACAGTGGTAGTGGGCCAAGCGGCATCTCGTTGCTTGAGGGCCTGGGGTACGGGAACGACGTCGCCGTTGCCCCAGCTGCTGCTGCTGCTGCGGCTGCTGGCGATAGTAGCGGTAAAGGTCCAAGCAGCATCTCGTTGCTGGAGGGCTTGGGATACGGGAACGACGTCGCCGTTGCACCCGGTGCTGCCGCTTCTGCTGCTGGCGACAGAGATGGTAGTGGGCCAAGCAGCATCTCGTTGCTGGACGGTTTGGGGTATGGGAGCGACGTCGCTGTTGCACCCGGTGCTGCTGCTGCTGCTGCTGCTGCTGCTGCTGGCGACCGCAGTGGTAGTGGTCCAAACAGCATAGCGTTGCTGGAGGGCTTGGAGTACGGGAACGACATCGCCGTTGCCCCCGTTGCTGCTGCTGCTGCTGCAGAACAGGAATCGACTCTGGTAACGGAAGTAGGCGCGGAGGCCTCACCGGGAGCCAGCTTCTCCGACACGGATCCAGCAACGGCACACGTCCCCGATGCGGACGGCGATCTCCTGACCACGCCCGCCGCCGGCGCGGGTGCGGCGGCCAAGCCGTTGCTTGGCGCAGCAGCGGCCTCCCCGTATCTCGCCGAGAAGCCCGACGACACGCCTGACGAAGAGGCCCGGCGAAGAAGCCCGGACCAAGCCAGCTCGGTCACCGCACCACTACCACCACTGCAGACACCTGAAGATGAAGCGCCGGAGGAGGGGAAGGAGGATGGCGTCGCCGACATAGCCGGGTCGGCGGCGGCGGCGGTAGCGGAAGGGACAGATGCGCTGGAGACCGCTGCTGAATCGGCAGCAGCAGCGGGGAAGACGGCTGGAGAAGAGACAGAACTGGCGCCGTTGTCCGCCGGGGGAGGGCAGCTGCCAGCGGCGACCGATGTGTTGGAGCGGGATGCCGACCCGGCGGGGGGGGGTGCCACCGAGCCCGATGACCTCGATTGGGGAGACTTCGGAGATTCGACAGGTGCCATGGAAGCAGCGGAAGGGGCTGTGGTTGACGGGTCCAGCGAGGCAGAGGAGGAGGAGGAGGAGGAGGAGGAGGAGGAGGAGCCGCGGGAGACGGGGCGAAATCAGGAGGGAGGGGGGCGAGACGCTCCGGCTTCGTCTTCACGAGAAGCTCACCAGGAGGTGGACCCCCCCGCGGCCGGTGACGCTCCGGCCGCCGAGCCTACCGCCTCGCTGTCATGCGTGGGGGAGGAAGGGAGAGATGGCCACGCAGAGACGCCGTCGACACCGCCTTCACAGCCGGAAGAAATAGACCAATCAGGGGCCTCTGATTCGGGGAAAGCTGGTGACGACAGACCGGAAAGCGTTTATCCTGGCGGTGCTGCGGTGATGATGTCGGCCGGAGAGGATTGGGGGGCTTTCGAGGAGGTAGAGCCGCCTAGCGGCGCAAAAAAGGCTCCGGCGGGGGAAACAGCTGGGCGTGCGGACAACAACGGCGATGGCGACAGAACGCCTTTCGGTGGAGAACCTCCTTCAGGTGGGAAAATGCCTTCTGATGGGGAGACGCCTTCAGATGAGACAACGCCGGCGGGTGAGGATGCTCCTTCCGATGGAAAAACGCCTTTCGCTGGAAAACCACCTATCGAGGACGATGAGAAAGAGCCGCCTCCGGCCTTTCAAGTGCTCGGAGCGGAGGAGCAGAGTAGCAGCGGCTGGGGAGCGTTTGACGAGGCGCCTCCACCACCACCGCCGCCGCCGCCGCCGCCGCAGTCAACCGTCGCCGATGTCGCGGAAGCGGGTGCCGGGGCGGAAACGATGGGTGGACCGACGATAGAAGCGGACGAAATATCGGCGGCCGCCACCAAGGAGCGCACGGCGCAAGAAGACGGAGCGATAGCGTCAACTGCAACAGCAATACTACCACCACCAACAGCAACAACAGCGCCACCGGCTGAGGAAGAAGATGGAGGCCAGGCCGGCGTCGAGGGCGGGGCAGCGGCCAGGGTCGGCGCGGGGGCGGAGACGGCGGCGGCGGACGGTGGTGACGATCAGCAGCCGGAGAGTGAAGACGACTGGGGCAGCGACTTTGGCGACTTTGAGGAAGCGCCGACGCCAGAAGAGGAGGCGGGACCACCGGAGGCTAGCGCAGTGATCGCGCCGCCGCCGCCGCCGCCGCCGCCGCCGCCGCCGCCGCGGGGGAC